AAAAGTGTAATGCTAGTGGTAGTAGTAGTAGTAGCAGCAGTCATCCTAAGACTGGTAATAATGTTTTGAGGCATTCTTAGTACTGAAGTAATGTCTTTTCTGACATGCTACCTTACTTTTTTCAGTCAGTATCCTGTAGGGAGCTGTAGAACAAAGGGTGTCACAGACATACCTTTAGTTGGTGTTCCTATCCAGTTGAGATATCGCGTGAGCTTCGTGGAGATGTAGGTCTTTCCTCGAGCTGGTAAGCCAACCATGATCACCATTGTGGGGGAATTGGTAAACTGGGGTACTGATGCTGGAAGACAAGCAGAGCCTTAAAAGCTTATCCCCAGGCTCCCATGATCTACTGGTATCAGCTCAGAGACACAGAATTGGAAAATTATCTTTCCTACCATTATAACAGCAACAACAATGACAAATACCTGAAAATTTTCTAACTGACTTATGAATTCATCAAAAACTGCTGCAAACAGGAATCTGATAGGCCAAGATGGTGGAGAAGAAGGGGGATCCATATTTCCCACATCTCTCAAACAAAGAAGTGCTGAAGACAAAGAACTTTGAACCCCAGGAGTCTGGGAGGAAAAGAGGTTGAATCTACCAGGAAGAAAATGAGAAAACCTGAGAAAAGATAGGTGGGTGATTGCAAACTGGGGGAGATAAAATGGGCCAAGTAAGCATGGAGGGGAGGGATCAAAGGGAAGAGAAAGAAGAGGTGGGGAAGTGTAGGATATGAGAAAAATCTCGGACTGGGACTGAGAGGAATCCTGTCACTAACTGTGGAACTTTCTTCAGCCTGGGGCAGGCTCCCTGTTCATGCACTTGGGGATGAGGGGAGCAAGCCCTGGGTTGTGTGGTAGGTCAGGGGTGCAGTCTGCAGTAGGAGAAAACGGCTCCCTCCCTGAAGTGCGGTGGGACAGAACAAAGCCTACCTGTGTCCACCACCCCCAGGCTTGGCGGCAAGGTCAGCGGTGCAGTCCACAGCAGGAAAAGGCGGTCCTCCCTGAAGTGCAGTGGCACAGAGAAAGCCAGCCAGGACCACATATCAAAACATACAGATAGGCTCTTCCCCAGTACCAGAGCACACAGAGCAGATCTCTGAATCCTAGCCAGGTGCCCGGGCAGGGGAGTTGGTGGAGTGAGAAGGATTGCCCCATCTGCTCCCATAGCACAGTGAGGACAACTCGAAGGAAGTCCAGCGGGTCATGGAGAAAAGACTGGGGTGTCGCCATCCTTCCCCATCAACCACCAAGGCAGGGCCTGAGGGATCAGTCCTAGGGCCCATAGTGGAGGTGGGACCAGCCTACACCAAACTATGCCCCTCTGTTCTGGGTAACTGCATTTCTGCTAGAACCAGATAGATGCTGTGCAACCAGAGAGCTCCATCATCCAGACCAGTGATGATGCATAGCCTGGATTAATTCCAGGAAAATTCTTGTTATTTAAATATATTCTCCCTTCCTATATCTTCCTTAATCTAGGCTTATAACTATGGTTGTTGGTTTGTTTAAGCAGACATATTTAATCCATTTCCCTGATACATGTTCTACATCTCCTTCAGTACTTTCCTCTCCCTCTCTTGAGGATAATCAAGCCATATAGTTTCTATGTCAGTAACTTTACCTTCGTTTTTTTTGCTGCCTCCTTCTTTAATTTTCCTTTCTCTCCCTCTGGATTAAGCCGTTTAGTCTCTCTGCCCAGTCAATGTTTGTTTTCTCTTTGTCCCCACCGCCCCCGTCATTTCTCTCTTTATATGTGCTCTTCCATCAGCACTGCCTCCACCCTGTTCTTTACTTGGAGTTGGTGTTTCTTCTTTTTCTTTCTTTCTTTATTTCCTTCTTTTTTTGCTTTTGGACTGTTTTTGTTTATTTGTGTGTGTGTGTGTGTGTGTGTCCATTTGTTTGTTTTATTTGTCTGTGTGTTTGTTAGTCTCTGTTTCCTCTTTGTTTGTTTTCCTTTCCAGGGCTACTTTAAGGAACAAATCAAAG